ATTTATTGGTATAATAAAAGGTTATTTTGTTCTTAGAGTAGATGAATTGAATGTATAGATGGTTAACTAATGATAATTAAGGGCTCTGCGGTTACGCTCCTAGGTAGCTAAGACCACCACCGCTATACAAGCTTTCTTTACAGGTCTATCGAGAAGGAATATTCTTCCACGATGTGGGCAGCCGGTAAGTGACAACCACCTTCATACCTCAATGAGCATCTGAGATCACCTTGTTGACGATCAAATCCCTCCCTCTTCTCTTAATAATTCTTCCACCCCCAAGAATAACCCTCTTCATATACTTTTATCACCATGCGTCACCAATGCTAATGATTCAGGTTCACGAAATGTCATTTCTGGTCTCTTGAAACCACTCTCTAAACTACATGTTGGAGCTTCTAATGCTCGAGTCTAGTGTTAGATAGGACAATAGGCTTCTTAAGCAAGCTCTCTAGAATCTCGCGCCATCGATGTATACTGCATTTCCGAGAAGCACATTGAGAATCTAAGTGCAGCCATTCATTTGACTTCATCTTGTCAATATAAAGAATCCGCTCGATTTACCCTTTGAGTTCTGGAGACCCAACTGCTACTTCCCATGGTCTTGCTAGTTGAGGTATAGCGTTAAGTTCAAGGGCAGAACAGGCTCTGTTAGATGGATTCCAATAGACAGTCTTTTATGCGTTGTTCAATTAAACAAGACAGTAAGAACTCGAAAAGATAGGAATGTAAGCTATCGCCTCTTCGTCATCACTGCCTACGCTACCACTGATTGCAGCTCAGGGGAAATTAAAAATGAGTTTTATGGGAAACTATCTAATCTCTTTCAAAAAGCTGAACGCTCTGATGTAGTTATAGTGGTACGTGATTTTAATGTTCAAGTAGGTAAAGTAAACCAAACTTAAGGGCCCTCAGGCGGTGTTGAGGCTCAGTGAACATATAATGGCGACCGTCTGTAGTAACTGTGATCACATAATAGTCTATTTCTGGCAATCATCAACTTTAAACATAAGGAGAAACGTCACATGACCTAGCGACCACCACAGTCGGTTACACCAGATAGCTGTTCAGACCTATAAAGAAAACGTGTATTAAAAATCCTGTTGCTAGTGAAACTATCTCGGAAAAAAACGCGACATTTATTCATTGTCAATCCAAGAGATTGGACCGATGGGCAGCACATTTTGGGTAACAGTTCAATAGGTCTTCAGACACCCTTCTGTTACCCACTATCTCCAAGCAACCTGAATGGAGAACTAACATAAATCCTCCAACTGTTAGTGGGGTTAAAAAGGCTGTAAAACAAGGGGGAGCAGCAGGATTTGATGCATGAACCTATGAGACCTTTAAGGATGGAGGTCTAATTTTAGCTATTAGATAAACTGAGGTGTTTGCTAGAACCCGGAAACTGACTGGTGTCGATCGCTGATTGTCCCAGTTTCTAAGAAAGGACAAAACTTCTTTTATGACAACCGTAGAGGAATCAGTTAGACTAATATCTTATCTAAAATATTAGCCCTAGTAATACTTCAACCTTTAACCAGGAGCTTTGAAGAGAAAACCTCAGAAAACTAGAATGTTTTCAGACCTGGGTGTGGATATATAGACCAAGTACTCACCCTTCAGAAAATTCTGGAATAAAGACACGCTTCTCGACGTTCGACTGAAATTATATTCCTTGATCTTAAGGCCGCGTCCGACTCCGTTGATCTTGATGTTCTGTGGAATTGTCTGTGATTGAAGGGCGTACCAAAGGAATACATTAATCTAGTACAGTCTCTCTACTCGAACACTATTGTTTCAGTAAGAGCTTATGGTGAACTGTCATGGGAATTGGTTACTTTAAGTGGTGTTCGTCAGATTTGCCCGCTTTCCCCACTTTTATTTAACTTTTTTATAGACATGCTTTTAGAGATAACATTTTCATCTCCCGACTTTTCAAGGATTGATCTTCTACCAGAAGACTAACTTGTTGACTTAGAATAGATAGATGATATAGTTCTGTTTGATGAAGACGTTGGCGAAATGCAGTCTTCTGACCGCTCTTAGCAACAGTGCAAGCATGTGTGAGATATAATTCTCTCCCTCAGAATGCAAAATGTCATTTCAGGATTGGTTTACATCACCTCCTGAATTAATTATTGGGAGTGAAGTAGTTTAACAAGTTGATCGCTTCATTTTTCTTAGGAGTCTCATCAGTACTAATGGTCTGGTGTCTGATGAAAACTCGACACGAATTTAGAACGATCGATTGACTTTTGCCAACTTGCATCACATGCAACGTAGGCGAGATATCCGTCTTCCAACCAAAAGACGAGTTTATTGTGCAGCTGTTCGCTCCGTTCTACTTTATGGATGTGAAACATAGCCATTAAAAGTAGAGGATATTCGTAAGTTAATGGCATTCGGTTACAGACGTCTACGAAGTATTGCTCATGTATTTTGGGATCACGGAATAAGGAATGCCTGACTCAGTAATAGAGTTCTAGGTAAGGATGAAAATCGAGTCCGCATGAATATGATAACCCATGCATACAGACGTTGAATGACATGGCTCGAAATCGTTTGCAATGGCGCACGCATATCCGTCCTTGGTCTCCCCCAAAATCCGGAGATTCTAAATTCCCCGTAACGTTTTTGTTTATATTTAGCCAATTTATATTTTATTTTTGAGTTGTATCCCGGATGTCAAATCTTTCATATTACTATTGAAAATGTTACTACCTCTACTGTTCTGGGATTTTACCTGACAATTTCATCTCGATGTGCTAATAAGGTATGGCAAGTTGACCCCATGTACATACTTACCAGATTATACGATGTGACTCTTTGAGTTAAATAAAATATGGTGATAGATTCTAAATAATATATGTGTGAATGAAGTTTTGATAATTAAAAGGATCTGAATAAGTATTCTAAATATCTAACTGTTAAGTAAATGATGGTACTTTGTAAGTTTACAATATAATTTTATAGTTAATGAACATCATAACCTACGTACATGGCAAATCATTTATACACATGATGGGATAGCATACGAAAATTTGTAGGGCATCTGGCTCTTGATGATTAATGTGTGTTTAATATCTGACATTTTTCAGTTCATTTAGTGAGTATGTTCTGAAAATAAGAAAATAATTTTTACTTAGGATTTCATTCGAAGCTATATCTCACACTGTGTTTGGTTTTTATTATCTAACTGGTTAGAATGAAGAACAACGGCGTGTTCACATAAAATTTGTAGATATCTTTAGACAAGTAAAATAAAATCCACAGTGAAAATTATGTTCTTATATGCTGCACTGGTGAATTAAATGAATGGAAAACTGTTTAAAGACACTAGATATTGAGGTTTGATTGTACACTGAAAAATGAGGATATTCGTACACAATATAACTTTTTAAAAAAATCAGAGTGGGTGGGTTTGTGGAAATTTAGTATTTTCATAGTTGAAAGCGTTAGTCAATTGAAGCTAGACCACCAAGACTAGTAGGTCTTGGGTTCGAATCTCGCGTAGCGAGATCGTGGATGCTCACTGCTGAGGAGTCCCACAGTAGGACGAAACGGCCGTCCAGTGCTTCCAAGTTTTACCTGGCGGTCTAGCTTCAATTGACTCACGCTTTCAACTTTTAAAAGAAAACAGACATTTCACGGGGTTATTCATTGAATTTTCAAAATACTCTATTTCTCAAAAAAAGATGTATGTGGTGATTTTATCAGTGTTTTGTTTAAATAAATGGGAAGCTTATTAAATTAGTGTTGAATCCAATTTTTTTTATTGGTTTTTCTTGAAAGCATTAACTGTTCTCAATGAATTTAGAGTATCGAGAAATGGATAAGTTTTATCAGTGAAGGCATTTTTTGAAGTTGAATCATCGATGTTCAACCTTCACTAAGACACTTGTGACAAGTACTTTCCTGACGTTGAAATTATCCTAGTTAAACAACTGAAAGCTTTAAATATGATTAATTTTTCATTGAACTCTAACTTTGAAATTTAATCTCTTACCGCAGTATCTCGTAAATTATGACAGATAATAATTTTAAATAATGGAAACAATAATAAAAGTAGTTGAGATCATGAACCGATCAATGTTAGACCATCATTGAAAACCTGCAAGTATTGGACTACCGTCTCGTCTTAGTATGGAATTCCTCAATAGTAAGCATCCATGATTCCGAACAAAGAACTTGTACTCAAGACCTTCGGTCTGGCGAGAACACTTAAGAGCTAGAGCACTGAGTCGGGATCCAACTCTGTTAATGTCTAACTTCAAACAATCTACAATATTCTGCGTTCATTCTCCATTGTCTAAGGTGAGTAACCGTCTTACATGTGACGCAGGGTTTTAAAGGGGTACAACAACTATCTTAAAATCAATTTTGATTATGATTAATTTTGGTTAAGCCCTTTTAATTAACTTGCTCAAAAGACATCGTCATTTGAACAATAACAATTTGCATATTCTTTGTACTGTTATGATCAATAGAGAACATGAAAAACTTTGGCCAAAATGTTGATTGCTCAAGTATCATTTGATGACTTAATACTCCGCCCCCATATATGTATGCACGCGAACCCTATTATCAACTTTTGTTTTGTCTTGCTGTGCCCTTATTAAATTTGACTAACAAATTGCTTCGTTGCTCACTCGCTTCTTGCTGATATTCGCTCCTGTGCATGTAAATTTCTTGTCTCCGTCATTTGACAATAAACTATAGTTACTGCTTTTCTTTACCTTCTGATTTTATGCACCGTTAAAATTGTAATTATAACGGTTATCAAAAAGAACAATTAACGAAGCATGACACTATAGGTGGTCTACTATTGATCGGTTCATGATCTCAATTAAAACTCAACAACTTTTACAACCCTATACTACTAATAATAGTTATTATTATTATTATTATTATTATTATTATTATTATTATTATTATTATTATTATTAACGTAGCTATCAACATGTTTTTGTAAACATTCAAATTTTAACCTAACTTACTCGACTTGTTTTATATGCTGTAAATGTACTAAAATAATCATATAAATAAACTATACGTGATTCTGATGATTGAAAATCATAAAATATAGTATAATTAGATGTATCTGTAGAAATAATTTTAGCATCAGATGTAACAGTTGAATAATCTATCATAGATACAAATGAATGATCTATAGAATGATCATTATTATTATTATTATTATTGTTACTATGATAGTTTTCATAATTGATATAATTTTTAATTAATTTTTTATTTGATTTTTTATATGGTATAATATGTATTGGTGTAAATATAACTTTTAATTGTAAACATGGAAATGTTGAACGTTCTTTAGAACATTTATTTTCACAACGTTTATTTGAATCATCACGACGTGAACTACTATATTTACACATACCTTCTTCAAATATTGATTCAGATAAATATGGTATAATAATTAAATGTAATAATATACATTCAATAATAAAACTAGCTGATATTAATGTAGCACATGATAAATATATAATTTTTAAACATGAATTAGAACAAATACGATTTTTTAAACGTTTAGTAAAATTATGATTATTATGATTATTACGTATAGATATAGATGATGATGGTTTTAAACGTTCACGTTTAATTGATGCATTCATAACGATTTCGGATACATTTTCTTTTTAAAATTCTTTCTTTATATATAAAATGAAGAAAAAAAAGTGTTGATAATTGCTTGTTTCAATGATTACATTATATAGATCTTTTTTTTTTTATTACAGAGGGGTGGGGCATAGCAACAATTATAATAATGATAACATTAGAATATTTTTTTGTTTTTTCTTTCTTTCTAAATAATTTACATTTAACAGGATAAAAAATTCTGCATTAATAATCCGTTCATTTTTCTAATTTTATTTTTTTATTTAAAAAAGAAAATCTATGATCCAATATTTATATTAATATGAATATTATTTGAAATAATTTGAGTAGATAGGATTGATCTTAAAATTCATTCGTTTATAGGTTGATTCAAATTTGAAATGGAATGACCTTGGGAAATCATGTTGATTGGATTATTTTGAGAAGTTATTGATTTTTTTTTTACAATGAACTAATCTAACTATCTATAAAATAGTTAACTAGACAGGTATTCAAAAAAATCAAAAAAAAATAACTTAAAAGTAAAGAAAAAATGAAAGAGAAAAAGGAGAAAAACAGAAATTTAAAAAAGGATAAATAAATGAACCGTTTATTGGTCAAATTTATAATCAAAATAAACAAAAAAAATTTCAAGTATTAACTTTTTGTTCTGATTTCGTAATAGGATGAGATCAGAAGGGGATTTGTGGAGATTTCAGTATTTTTCAAAGTTGAAATCATGAGTCAATTGAAGCTAGACCACCATCGAAAACCTGGAAGCACTGGACGGCCATTTCGTCCTATTATGGGACTCCTCAGCAGTGCGCACCCACGATCCCGCACTCGCGAGATTCGAACCCAAGACCTACCAGTCTCGAGCCGAAGCCCTTAACCGATAGACCACTGAGCCGGCAACCAACGGTGTTAATGTCTTACTTCAACTGATCCACGAATTATGAGCGACACTTCACTAATCGCCTTCAGTGAGTTGTTATCTCACAACGGACGTGGTTGAACTCCACTGGTCACTGCTTCCCACTAGAACTCCAGGACATGTATCTTGAAGTCAGTCACTAGTGAGCATATGATTATCAACCACGTCTGTTGTGAGATAACAACTCACTGAAGGCAATTGGTGAAGTGTCGCTCATAATTCGTGGATCAGTTGAAGTTAGACATTAACACCGTTGGATGCCGGCTCAGTGGTCTATCGATTAAGGGCTCTGGCTCGTAGCTGGTAGGTTCTGGGTTCGAATCTCGCGAGTGCGGGATCGTGGGTGCGCACTGCTGAGGAGTCCCATAATAGGAGGATGACATCAATTAAAAAACTATTTGAATTGTTTTACGTAATCAGTTTATCAATTTGAAGTTTTAGAGATCTTTTAAGTTTTGATTGAGATCATGAATGGATGAAGATAGTTGCGCAATTTCATGGATTAGTTCAAGTTAGATATTAACACCTTTCGATACTGGCTCATTGATCTAGAGGTTAAGCATTCGAATAAAAACTCGGAGGTCCTGGGTTTCAATCTCGCACTACTGAGGAATTCTATACTAGGACGAAACGTTCGTCAAGTTATTATAATTTGGTTTATTATTAATCTGCATTCCCTGTTGATGTATAACGTGATAATACCACCAGTTAGAGAGCAGTGATTTATTGATCAAACCAGTGACGCATAAAACCCGTTCGAGCAGTCTAGATTACTTATCGATCCTGTTTTCTGTCTAGCCCATCCAGTTAAGTCTAGAACACCAATCTCAGCTTTTGTAGCATGAATTTTTTATTCCAAGCATACTAGGTTTATATGCCAACTAGACAGATCACGTCGTATCATGAAATATGAAGCAACATTTGTACAAGATTTAGCCAAATATAGCTGTGAATAAAGAAGATAGTAATTGATAGACAGGGCATAACTTAAGAATGGTAAGTCGTATAATAATAGTTCGTAGGTCAAAAAAATTTTATAATAAGAGGTACATAAATATGAATAGTTTAGTTATTTAACAATTATACGATAAAAATTTACTACTAGTATTGGTCCATGAATGGATCCTAAAAGCTACTACTCATTATTTTTATCGGGTTATAACACAAGTGCTTCCATGTATTCATCGATGGTCTAACATTCATCGATTCATGATCTCAATCAAAACGTAAGTTTACAATTAAGAATAGTTATTTTAGAGTGAAAATAGATTCATCGCGAGTATTATTACTCAAGTACTCTCGTCATCTGTACATATAACATTTCTTAATTCAGGTAATGATATATATTTTATCGTTACTGTTATTTCGAATACATCATTATTCTTTATCACAACCATATTTTAAAGTCACTGGATAATTGGTACTTTTAATAGGAATATAAGTCCAATGTCTTTTGTTCTTGTAAAACAGTCCAGGGTTGTATAGTACTTGAAGAAACCATTCTTATTACAATCAAAATGAGTTACTTCACTGTCGATTATAGAGTCTGTGACATAACCGGGAAATTATTATGTATTTAAGAGATTTGCCAAAAAAATGAAACGTAGAAGTGATCGAATTTATTTCGTTATGTTTTTTGTTTGTGATTTACCGAAATTCTTCTTTCTTACGTAATATGATGTATCATATGAGATCATAAAGTAGTGTGATATATCGTTGAAAATAGAAATCCTCTCTAACAATTATACAATCTGTCGTATGATGTTCTGTTAGATGAAAAATAGTTTAAACTTCTCGATACACAACATTAATCATCAAGATCAACACGAATATGCTTGGGATACATCCATCAAAGATATACACAACCTTCATTGTCGATCCTAGTCAAATGGTTTCGTTACATCATTCTGCGGTACATTTTAAGCTTGAAGAACTGCATATTTTTTTCCCATCTAATACCATCAATAACATGGAAATACTTTTTTAATGTAAAGAACTAAAATCAATGACTGATCATTTCGTAGTGACCAACTGAGAGCAAATGATATATAGAGAGTTCAAAGTAACCATATACTATAATGTGACTTGCCTTACAAATATGACACTGTATTGCTTATAACCAAGTAATTATCAAAAAGACGCTTAAATCGCAATACGGAAGTGATATTCAATATTAGCACATATGAACTATAGTAAAACAGCATAATATCAAGTTTTATATGTTTGCACTGGTAACTAAACTACCAAAAAAAGATGTTGGAAAGGGATCGGACATTATTAAGTAAATCACCTATGTGCATTACAAGGCGATCGCTAACTTGGAATGATGAAGGGAAGTAGAAAAGAATAAAGTCAAAGAACACACTGTGTTGAGAATTAAAAGTATGTATGAAAATGATGTTTTTTAACTGAAAAGAACTGGGAAGGATTACCCAGGATAGGGTTGAATGTAAAATGCTGGTGAGTGGCCTATGCTCCTCGACGAGGGGTAACAGACGTAAGTAAGTAACATACATATATGAGGAAGAAGATGAATCATCGAGTGAAATTTAAGCAATCAACATTCTAGTTAGAGTAATAATAAAAACGATAATAAAACGTCTTAACCAAAATTAATCATAATCGAAATAGGTTGTAGGATAGTCGCTATAATAATATATTATCATTATTCCAAGTAGCTGAGTGGGTATTTATTTATTTTAACATCATAAATAACGTTTAACACACTGTCATCCTTCATATTATTAGTAAATTAGTAAATTCTTCAGACTAACAGATGGTTTCAATATCATTCCATTATCTTTACAAACATCCTATATATATCGTATTTATAAAAATGAGGTCACTAAAAATTAGGTGTGAAAGGAAATTCCCGACCTTCTGATGAAAAGTTGTGATCTGTAGGATTGGACTGCGTTGTCTATAAAGAAGTTATTCATATACGAAGGCGGAAGATAATAAGGCATCATCGCAAACGGATTGACATGTAGGCTGTCGAATGCAAACTCAGGGGTTCAAAGATTAAGCACTCTCAGAGAGACCTACATGTCTTGAGTTCGATCTCTGGTAGGATTATTTGTACACGACGTAGAAGAGTTTTATACTAAGACGTAACACTTATCCACTGCTTCTAAGGTTTTAACGATTCTCTACTTATTTACCCTACCTAATAACTCTTAATGCAAATGCTAATTGCTCTCATTTGACCCTAGTAAGTAGGGGAACTTTATAAAGGTGTTTTTTGGGTCGCTTAAAAGTCATCCGTAAATTATGATCTCACCGAAATAACATATAAAAAACTGAAGGGTAGGAGAGAGAGGTTTCGTTCTAGTATCGGACTCTTTGCTAATGCTTATACTTCATCTTTAGATTTCGTATCATAGTCTTAACCGCTTCTTGCACTGAGTTGTCATTCAAATAATCCATTTTTCCAATTCCGATCAGTTGACAATGAAGTAAGCAATGAATGTCTCTCTTGTGGTATATCGAGTGACCAACTTTAATGGTTGGTAAAATATCATACAAAGTAAGCTAGTTTTAGTTTAATTTTTTAGGGCAGAACAATATGAGAGTTTTTTTTTAAAATTAGTCGATATTCATATGCATGAAATCGTTTATTTTGAGTGACTGACCATATATTTATAAATATGTATATAATGCGGCCAGTGTTTGTAGTAATATCTACGTATTGATTTTTGGGAAGTAATGACCAAAACGGCAGTATTGTTATTAAAAAGGCAGCTACTTTCAGAAAGTAATTAGCAAGAAGGAGTGGACTGAATTTCAAAGTTGAAACCGTTTGTTTGTTTGTTTGAAAACGTATATTTATCACTGAGCAGTGAACTATATTGGAGAAAAGTGTAGAAAAGTAAGAATATGGTGTTATGTATGTTTTTCATAACATAATTGTTACCAGGTATATGTGTGTTTGATGACGGTAATCCTTTGTTTGTAGACAATAATAGAATGAATCAGGATCTTGCACTGACCTAATGGAGGGTAGCAGATATAACGAAGGGTATTATTTTTTGAACACCATCATCAAGACTATGCTAAAATGTTCCAATATCAAATTGTTCATTGAAGAGTTGAAAAACTGTTAGGATTAGACAATAACTTCTTTTTCAAGGCCTTAAGATTTCGTCAAGCCCACATGGGTTATTTTTGCTCCCGGAAAGACCGGTCTATTCGTTCTTCTTGAGTCACATTTTGAACTTGTCAATTATTCACTCATTTACATTGACTGTTTTTTTGAGCGTATGTGTGTATTAGTTACCTAATACATTACGTATTTGGCTTATTTTGTCTGGCTATAAATATTGAGTTACGCTCTG